TTTTCCCCTCCGCGTTGAGATTTGCACATCATCTGATAATAATGTCAGAAATAGCTTTCAGCAATAATGACCTTTATTTGACCTTTAAAGCGATGAATATACTTTAGATTCCTCTCACTGTTGGAGCCGTTAACGCCCAGATGGAGTTTCACCTACACGAACGTATGAACACCAGATAACATTTTTTGTTTCTTTCAGCGCTCAGTCTGTCTGTCATATTCTCATTCGGATGAACCTATCCACAAGTTTCCGAGGGGCGCTCCTGTAAAAAATAAAGTGGGTGAAACTTCCGGTAAGGCGGCGGAAGTAGCATTCCAATGGTATTTTGTGTGTTAGTTAGCGAAGAGGCTAGCTGTTTTTCGGAGAATTATTTTACTATTTAAAGACGCAAATCTTTATGAGAGATGTCGTTACGGAGCTCAGGGACAACATGTGCTGTTCGCGGTTGTATGTATAACCGGACTAAACTAGTTCGGTGGCTTAAACGTGATTGTTTTGAACATAAGCTGAAAACGAAATCAGAGTGATCCTGCCAACGACTGTAGTTTCCATCACCTCCCAAAAGACGACGAATCTTCCTGTGTACATTTGTTTAAATTCTTAATGTTCTATAAACTCTATCAGCATGTGATTGGCTGTTCGCTACTGATGTTACACCTAAACTCAGGATCAAAGCCTGTGTTGACAGAATACCAAATGTGCCAGTTAATGTATTCAAGTAGCACATTCATTTATAATTTTGAATAAACTCCAAAGCACAATGACTAAGTGTGTATTTTTTATTTTAATTGTTTGTCAGCTCGCACAACTGTCTGTCACCATGCCTTGATGAGTATTGATTATTAATAATGTTATTATAATACTCCCAATCAACTACTGCGGAGGGTAAAGGTACTGTTGTTTCACCCTTTTTAATTTCGTTGAGGTTGTGTTCCCACATCGTTAGCTAGTTTGGATCGCTATAACTTAAATGACTGTCAACTGTTGAATGAACAAGCGTCAAGCATGTCAAATCGCGCTTTGTTTACTTCCAACCGGAAGTCGAGCCCACTTTTGACGCAAGGCCTCATGGGGCGTAGGAAACTTGTGGATACACATATGATATGCCCTGTTCAATGAGTTGCACTACCAATCACATGGCAGTTGCTTCAATGCATTTAGGGGTGTGGTCCTGGTCAAGACAATCTCCTGAACTCCAAAACTGAATGTCAGAATGGGAAAGAAAGGTGATTTAAGCAATTTTGAGCGTGGCATGGTTGTTGGTGCCAGAGTATTTCACAATCTGCTCAGTTACTGGGATTTTCACACACAACCATTTCTAGGGTTTACAAAGAATGGTGTGAAAAGGGAAAAACGTCCAGTATGCGTCAGTCCTGTGGGCGAAAATGCCTTGTTGATGCTAGAGGTCAATGGGCCGACTGATTCAAGCTGATAGAAGAGCAACTTTGACTGAAATAACCACTCGTTACAACCGAGGTATTCAGCAAAGCATTTGTGAAGCCACAACACGCACAACCTTGAGGCGGATGGGCTAAAACAGCAGAAAACCCCACCGGGTACCACTCATCTCCACTACAAATAGGAAAAAGAGGCGACAATTTGCAAGAGCTCATCAAAATTGGACAGTTGAAGACTGGAAAGATGTTGCCTGGTCTGATGAGTCTCGATTCATAGTCAGAATTTGGCGTAAACAGAATGAGAACATGGATCCATCATGCCTTGTTCCCACTGTGCAGGCTGGTGGTGGTGGTGTAATGGTGTGGGGGATGTTTTCTTGGCACACTTTAGGCCCCTTAGTGCCAATTGGGCATCGTTTAAATGCCACGGCCAACCTGAGCATTGTTACTGACCAAGTCCATCCCTTTATGGCCACCATGTCCCCATCCTCCTATCAATATGGGCCAACATTTCTAAAGAATGCTTTCAGCACCTTGTTGAATCAATGCCACGTAGAATTAAGGCAGTTCTGAAGGCGAAAGAATCCTTTAGGTGAGTGTATATATTTATATATATATATATATAAAGCCTAAATACAGACACCTTTTAACACTGAGTAACACAACGATTTAAACACTGTTTTTTGAAGAAATAAAATACAGCCTAAAAGTTTTTGTCCTGAATAAAATGACAAAGATCGTTGCAGTCCAGTACATTGTACAGAAAAATGTATGTGTGTATTTGTATATCCTTGCTGCTTATCAGTACGAAGTGTTGGGTAACATTAATATGTAACATCTTATGCCAGGCTCTCTCTCTCTCTCTCTCTCTCTCTCTCTCTCTCTCTCTGATGTAGTTGTGCCTCCTAAAGGAGAGTGAGCCGCGTGTTATCGCAGGCGAGCAGAGTGATGGTATCTGCAGCGTTCGACTAGTTTCCATTAGGGAATTACCAGGTCAGGTTGAGGGGATGGGGGGTGTTGGTTGCAGTGCAGACCTGCGGTAATGAAGGAATTCGCCTTCGTTGTGCCAGAGGAGTATATCAGCATTTATACATTACTCCACATGCTGGGCCTGCACTACCAGGAGATTAGGAAAGAGACCGGGATCGTACATCAGCCTGTGTGTGCCGCTGACACAACCAAGAGATAGACCCAAGAAAAATTGCAGCAAAGAGGCTTTCAAAACCGGAGACACCTTGCATAGAAAAGAGACTCTCTGTGTACATACTGGCTACGATTAAATCCAACTATATCAGGAGGCAGATCGGATCACACGAGCTTCACTGTGTGCACTGCCATTGGTAGTCAACGGATCACACTGATACAAATTTGCATAATACTTTATGGATAACTGGCAACAAGCCTGGGTGTTGAAAATGCATCTTGAGACCTCTAAATTTTGCACTCTGTTCAATTCCATTGAACTCCGGCATGCAGCTTTGGACAAAAATAGATTTAAGTCTACATGAAATTACAATTTTAATTCAGTAAATGATATCCAATTACAATAAAAATGTTCATCCATTTTCAATGTTTAAAAAAAGAACAAATGCACAACAATTAATAATAATAATAAGAAATATTTCTTGATCACCAAATCAGCATATTAGAATGATTTCTGAAGGATCATGTGACACTGATGATGTATCGCAGAAAAAAATTACAATTTAAAATATATTGAAAAAATTTAATAAATTGCAATAATATTTCACAATATTACTGTATTTCACAATATCAAATAAAAGTAGCATTGGTGAGCATAAGAGTCTTAATTTTAAAAACATAATAAACGTACTGACCCATAACTTTTGAACGGTAGTGTGGATGCCATTTTCATTTGAGTGTAAATGATATTTTCATCAAGTAAAAGTAACAACAAACAGCGCAAGTGTGTAAAAAACATGATATTTGTACTAAAATAGTAAATGTATGGATTTAAAATAGCCTTTTATACGCAGTTTAAATAGAAACTGACTCAATTATCATACATCAGGAATTGATTAGATAGTGACAGATAGTCAGAGGGGAGTGAGTGAAGATGGAAAGGATAGTCATTTCGCAAGCGAGTTATTGAATTTTTGTGGAAAGATTACGACAACACTGTTTTCTTCAGTCTAACGAATCATTCACAATAGGACTAGGAACGCTTGTTAAGAAAGTACACAATCAATTTTGATTTCATATTGACTTTAACATCGAATAAAACCCTCATTTAGCAGAAATCCCCAGTTGTGGAGCAGTTGCACATGTTTGCAGCCTGACCTCCAGCAAATTTGATCTTAGCAGGTCCTCAGTGCTATTCCTAATGAGGCTCCCTTGGCTATATTTTGCATGATGTATAAAATGTTTTCCATTGCAAAAGTAAAACCATGTTTTTTAAAAGCAGGTCAAGGGTATAATGAGGATGGAGAGAGAGGTAGATAATGTGTCAGTCTCCTGTTTTAATACCGCTGCTCCCAGGAGGTTACACATATGCATGTGTTATAGTAGAATTGTATATTCATTCGACCATGAAAGTCCACTGGCAATTGATTACAAAAACCATTCTGCACACGCTGGGAAAGATCGAAGTTAGACATGCTGCTTAAACGAGCTCAGAAATCAAACTAACAAAAGAGAAACAAATAACAAAATGGCATTTTAAATAAAAGTTTCTGAGCCAACGAACAAAAAGGGAAAAATAATGAGTTATTTTCTTTCCCTGTCTGCCATTGGTTGGGAAAACAGACAGCCCATCCATCTATCTATCTATCTATCTATCTATCTATCTATCTATCTATCTATCTATCTATCTATCTATCTATCTATCTATCTATCTATCTATCTATCTATCTATCTATCTATCTATCTATCTATCTATCTATCTATCTATCTATCTATCTATCTATCTATCTATCTGTCTATCTGTCTGTCTGTCTGTCTGTCTGTCTGTCTGTCTGTCTATCTATCTATCTGTCTATCTATCTATCTATCTATCTATCTATCTATCTGTCTATCTATCTCTCTATCTATCTATCTATCTATCTATCTGTCTGTCTGTTAGTCTGTCTATCTATGTCTCTATATATCTATCAATCTATCTATCAATTATTTATTTATTTTTACAATAATTAGGTGAAAATTTCAGTAGAAAAGTAGGTGATTTCAGTCTTAAACATTAGAGTTAAAAAAATACAAATGATCTTGCTTTTTTAAAAGACACCACAAGGCCACATATCAGGGAAATCAAACTACAAATGGATTGGAGAAATATTTTAGCACCAAAATAATTACATAAATACAATAATTGGCATTAATTTTTACAGTAAAACCGCAAATAAAGGCAATGCCACGTTTACGCCACCACAACAACATGTAGCACAACACTCGTCTGTCCCATCGACTGTCAAAACACTGAAAAACACTTTGCATGTCCACGAATCACAAAGCGAAATCAAACGCACTGTGGATCCGCCTCAGGCAACGCGGGCCCCTGTGAGCGTCTGTCAGTCCGGCATGAGCAAAGCAAAAAGAGTGCTTCGATGAGCACGGCTACAGCTTTAGTAAAGCGAAAAAGCAACTCACCCAGCGGCTGTCCTGCAATAATCCTGGTGTTCTCGCCTGCCACGGCCGCCCGTGCGTTCCTTTCACTCATGTATTGGACGAAAGCGTAACCCTTGTGCACCGAACAGCCCACGATCTTGCCGTACTTGGCGAAGATGACCTCGATGTCGCCCTTCTTCACAATGGCAGTGTTGAGGTTGCCGATAAAGACCCGTGAGTTGAGGGAGCGTGGGTCGTTCTTGTTAGTGACATTGCTGGTCTGACTCTTGCCGGTCATTCTTCTCCTGTGGAGCAGAGACATGATGGGGACGACATCAAGCACACCTCATATACTGCTAGACTGTCTTGAGGACAGAAAAAAGTGGTTGTAGGGATGCACGATATATCGATATTGGCTGAAAAATGTTCATTTTTAATGGTATCGGCCTGATAAGAACATTTGGCAGATATGTTAAAGCCGATAAATAATGGATTATTTCCTTAGGCTGAGAAACTTCAGATGTGCACTCTTCGCCATTATGGATTTGAATAGCTTTAGATATGATTGGAATCATTTCAGTCAAGTGCGACATGTGCTGTCATGTAGCCTACATTCAATTATAATTGTGTGCTTGCTTGGGACACGGACACTTTCACTTAATGGCGAGACTTTTGTTTTTGTTAACAAGCTCCGGCCAATATCTCAGTTATCGGCAACGACTAAATTTTCATATCGGTGCATCCCTAGGTGGTTGTCAAATAACTTTCTCAAACTTAATAAAGACAAAACTGAAATAATTATATTTGGTCCGCCGTAATTGAAAGGCGGTCTACTCAACGAGCTCGGTAATCATTTCCCTTCAATTAGAATTAGAAACCTTGGCGTCATTCTGGACTCATATTTTTGCTTAAACCAAACTAATTCTGTTGTTAAGAATAGTTTTTATCAATAACAAATTAATTCTAAACTTAAAACATTTTTGTCTTTCCAAGAATTGGAGAAGGTTAAATTACTTCACATCTAGTCTTTTGTAATTCCCTTTTTTGGTCTTCCTCATTCACACTTTCAGATGGTCCAAAATGCAACTCAAGGCTGTTGACTAACACCGTGTCCTAACTACACGCGACGCGGCGACACGACACGCGATAAAAGGTATCTTTTCCATGTTAATCAGAGTTTTTGTCCTAACCAGACGCGACGGCGAAACGCGAAGTTTCTAATTTAGAAACGGTTTCTATTTCTGCGATGTCGCGGCTGACAGAATGAAGAAATTACACTGGTTATGAGTAGGCTACACATTATTTATTTTTAGTTAAAAATAGGTCGCTGTGCCACAAGCGATAACGGATAATTTACCTCAGATTTTGATAGCATATAATATAGCGTTCAAAATGAATTCTATGCAAACATACAACTGTACTTCATAACAAAATTTGTCAATGAGTATATTTTGTTAATGTTTTGATTTTTTAATAATGTTATTTCTAGATTTGATTATGTCCTTACCCATTTCCAATGTGAGTGCAGGCCAGCAGTGCGCTTTCACGCTGTTCTGAATGGGTGTGATTTTTGATTGACGTGTGGCGTCTCACAGTCGCGTCGCGTCTAGTGTGGACAGACACACTTGCTGTCGCTGGAATTTTTTTCGCGTCGCGTGTAGTTAGGACACGGTGTAAGGCAAATAATATGATAATGCCATCCCAATATTTTGTAATGACCAAGCTCCATCTTATCTTAAATATTTTCTTACCTCCTATACATCTCTAAAAACAAATGGTGCAAAATGGCACTTAAAGTGGTTCATTGGCTTGTAATCATAGGGGAACCACAAAGAACCCCAGAAGAACCTTTTTTTTAAAGAGTGTAGTAGACCTTTAGGATCTTCTGAAATGGCATTATTGTACTTCCCATACTAATGTACATAATGTTTTTTATACTATACTGTAGTATACTATACTATACTATACAATTTACTATATAGATATACATTAAATGAACTTAATTACTGCTTTTGTCAGTTATTCAACTGCAGGATGCTTCTGCATGCTCTTAAAGTCATTGTTTTATGCAAATGATTTATTTGCACTGCAGCCACACACAGACATAGACACAAAAATAAAACTCTTATAACATTAAGGTTCTCCACCAAAAAGTGAAACAAACTTTCTAAAAGCACTTACAAAGCATTCTACGTCCCTGACTCAACCTTCACATTTTATTATCATAAAGATTTATCATTTTAGGATTAGATGTATTGTTTTCTTATCATGATTAAAGAACAGCTATTGGAGCGATAACAATGATTAAATTGCTGTTTTATGGTATATAGCCTACGGACTCGTTCCTGCTGTCCAGGCCGTCCAGCACACTGAATATGTGAGAATATGAGCGAGTGCTGTTGTGTTCGTGTGTTTATTTGTGTTGGTGTCTATAAATGTGAGAATATGAGCACGCTGGTGTGAAGGCGAGAAAGCGGGTGCCGCGCGGATGAAAGAGAGTAAATGAAGGCCTCGCGTTTATGCAGTCTCTGTATGACACTCTGAACACACAGTTAGTCTTCACATCAGAGAACAGCAGCAAGATCCTCCCATTGGGTGTCATCCAACTCCCCTTCCCGAACACACACACACATTCAGAGACAGTGACTGCTATTGTCTGAGACAGAGATGCATTATGTTCTGTCTCTCACGCTGTCAACGACCTACTCTCACAAGACAGCAAGAATGAACACGCAGCTTCACGGAGGCTCTAGCGAGACAGTGTGTCTGAATCAAACGAGCTGACCGAATACGACACGTTGAGAAGCCCAAATATATACTTGATATTTGTTGAGTTTTTTTAAGAGTGATTTTAATCGCTGGAAGTCAGAAGGTCAATGTACTGTTGGTCAATAACTTACTTCAAAGGCATTACTAGACTTCAAGAGGCACACTAGGGGCTGCAGTCTTAAGCATCCTTGTTAGCATGTGGGCCTCCCACGCTGGAGACCCCGGTTCGAATCCCACTCAGAGCAGGTCAAGTAGGACTGCTTACATTTGGTGCCGTGACCCGGATAGGAGTGAGTGTAATGGACGTAGGCCAGTTAGAGCTGTGTGTGTAAACCTCAAGAGTTAGTACTAGTTAGCACGCCCGCCTCCCACGGTTTAAATCCCACTCAGAGCTGGTCGAGTAGGACCAGTTGCACAAAGTTAAACATGGCCCTGGGTCAACATATTTTCCTGTTCGAAAATGTAATCCTAACCATATCTCCTAACCCTAACCCTACCCATAAATGATCCCTAAGTTCAGAGGGAACTGATAGGTGAATAACTCTGATTGCAAACCTAACCTTGACATAAACTTGTCCCTCAAATTTGATTGGTTGATTGCAATCTCGTTCCAGAATCAACAAAGATGAACGGCCATACGTTTTTAAAAATCTTTTAATTTTAAGAGACACTGACAGGTTATGATGTTATGGTTTATGTCAAGATGTCATAACAAAGACATCTAAAACAATGTCATTTGCATTCAAAATGTCATAATTAAGCGAATGACACTTAAAGGGATACTCCACTTTTTTTTGAAAATAGGCTCATTTTACCACTCCCCCAGAGTTAAACAGTTGAATTTTACCGTTTTTGAATCCATCCAGACGATTTTCTGATATTTAGAAGAATATCAGTAACCAGACAGTTTCTGGTCTCATTGACTTCCATAATATACTATGGAAGTCAATGAGACCAGAAACTGTCTGGTTACTAATATTCCTCTAAATATCAAAAAAATCGACTGAATGGATTCGAAAACGGCAAAACTCAACTGTTTACACACTGGGAGAGTTATACAATGAGCCTATTTCCAAAAAAAGTAAGTGGAGTATCCCTTTAATAAAAACTGCATAAACCCTACTTTATATTCATAATGCATGTCATGGTTATGAAGGTGTCATGCCAGTCTTATGCACACCCCTTCAAGTAAAGTGTTACCATATATATACTGTATATATATATATATATATATATATATATATATATATGATGATCAATCTAATTCACAAATTTTGACTGTAACACTCAATGTACTAACCCACAAGTCGAGCTCAATGTGAACCCTGTGCTTTTGAGTCCGAATTGAAACCGTACCACAAGTCGTGTCATGTCAAGGTTGTACATCAGATCACCAAACGACACAAGTATTTTTTGTCAACGTCTTCAAACGCCTGTTAGAATTTAAAGCTCTCAAATGTCACTTAGAAATGAAGATTAGATTTATTTATCATGGGGACCAAATGCTTGAATAATGAATCCAATTCTCTGTAAATAGGATTAGTTGCCAAGGTTACCTGCATTCTGGGAATGGTGCTGGCTGAAGGCTCACACATTCAAACACACTCTGACATGCTCGCAGACACACTCGCGCTCTCAAGTGTGCAGTCATTCACGGAGACAGAAATTGGAATAGTGAAATATGCCCTCTTGTAATTTCCCAAGCCACAACGTGGCCACGGGATCATGCCACGAATACAGCAGAAAGCTCTTTTATGCTGGACAGAGCTCAATTTGGTGAACAGACCTGCACTACTGTACCTGTACATTCCTGTTTCTCTCTCACTCTCTTCAACTTTATCTCTTTCAATTCTGCACACAGGAAAAAAGTTGTCTCAGTTGTTTTTCCTACAAAGCCATGAGAATAAATGGACATCAGGATGTCTCTTGGATTTGATCACAGTGGGATCTCAACCTCGAGGTCATCGTGACTTAAGATCCCATGTGGCTCACAATAACGTCAAGATCTCCTGCTCATATATTTCTCCTGAGAAAAAGATCTGCTCAGATACCAAAATCTGCAGTCAAAAGAAATCACAACTACACATTTCAAAAGTTTGGGGTCGGCAAGATGTTAAAATGGTTTTATAAAAACAGTAATATTGTGAAATGTTAGTACAATTTAAAGTAACTGTTTCGTGTTTTAATATATTGTAACATCAAATTTATTCATGTGATAAAAGCTAACTTTTTAGCATCATTACTCCAGTCTTCAGTGTCACATGATCCTTCAGAAATCATTCTAATATGCTGATGTGATGCTCAAGAAAAGTAATTCCAGGATTCTTTACTGAACAGAAAGTTAAAAAACAAACAAACATTTATTTAATGCTGCAGTCTGCAGTTTTTCCTTTGTCGCCATCTCTGTTCGAAATCTGCAATTGCAATTATTTCTGTTATTTTTGGATAAATAAGCTTGTTTCGGTGATCCACCATGAAGGACAAAGAGTCACACAGGTTTGAAAGGACGCGAAGGTCGGTAATTGACGACAGGATT